CTACTAGAACATGCATTACGAAAGTGACGAGTATTCGTTGACCTCACAAAACAAAATGACTGCTAAGAAGAATGGGAATATTTTTAATTTGGTATGGCAATTAATCTTCCTTTGTTGACAAATAAAGCATTCTTTTGTCTATTAGTGGATGTTTTTATTCATTTCTGGTAAAATGTCAAAATGCAGCTATACACAACCTGGGTGTGATGCAGAAACTTTTTTTGCTGGATATATCTGTGGTACATACATATATGTTCTTGAAAAAGGAGTTGACATTACATAAAATTGTCTTATCACACACACACAGTTTTAATCTATCCTTATAAAATTTTACTTCAGGATCAACCTTGTTGTTCAATAGTACTACTGTTACTGCATAGGATCTCAAAAGACAATCAACTACAATATTTTCTTCCCCCATAATGTAAAGAATCTCAGTAATTTATTCAGAAATCAAAGTGTCAAAGCTTTGATAGCAGATTTCATTGGACTTATTTTCTTGAAAGCCCACACTAAAGATTTATGATATGTCTACAGTCTCATATTTGATGTTTAAAATATAACACAGGCAAGTTAATAATTCAAAGTCAAATGTGGAATATATTCTTTATCTAAGAGTTTCTTAAACCCATAGGATCTAGTTAGTTATTAATAATTTGATATAATGCTGTTGTTACAATATAACTTTTCTGTCTGCTGGGGTGGCTAGCCAGTCTCTGTTGCACAGAGTCCTGCTAAGGCACATTTGTGCTTTATACTACAACTATACTGAGCACACCTTAATTCCAGTTTCTGGGAGAGAGCTCATCATCTGGCATGATGAACAATTCAAACAAGGCCAGTACGCACTATGATGTGACTTCACAATAGCATAACCATCAACAATTCTGTTTACCCAATTTCAATCAAGGCTTGAGTCAACTTGTGGTATGGTTTTCAAGCACTTTCCAAAGATGCCACATGCTGAAATTGCTTACCCAGGTTGATGTTATCAAGAGTCCTATTTTTGAAAAATCGCCCATGGTGAGATTCAAACGCAGGTCCCACAGTCAGAACTTAATAAATGTGTAATATACTTAAGAGGATGAGAAAGTGCTATCAATCTGGTTAGAATTTTCTTAATATTTATAAATGCATCTTTTTCATCAAAAGTAAATTGTAATTTACTGTTATTAGGATTCTTTTATCATTTCTGTTAGTGGTAATAAAATATCGACAATATGAGGAATATGTTTTCTGTAAAAATTCATTATCCCTAGAAAATGACGAAGGGTCTTCTAGTCTGTAGGTTCATGGAAATAATTCATTTCTTGTGATTTTTTTTTTATTTTGTTTGAGTTACCTTCAAGAATATTAAGATGTTCTTTAAAAATTTTCAATTATTGATTCAAATTTTAAAACTGTTTTTATGAATGATTGTTGCTATTACTTGTTAGAGATTTCTAGACACGTCCAAAAATGTCTTTCTACCATATACAGAAAAAAACTAAGACATTATCTATATATACAAAAACTCAGTAGACTTGAAGAAAATGTGTATGAATCTTTGAAATGTTATACCTTCAGTTTGTAGATCAAGAGGAATGTACAAATATTCAAATAAAATAAAGGGTGTAATAACAGCTGCCCTTTCTAAATCTCCCAATGATATGCTTGTATTAAATCTATTTTTAGAGCAAACTCCTTGATTTAATAATTTGGAAAAACACTTAATATTTGGTATTGGATAACTGTCATGTTTAATAATAGTATTTAGATTTCTAGTCTCTGTAAATGCACCAAATTCTAGGTGTAGCTTTTGATCCCATATGCAAATGAAATGACCAAGTTCATTTTAACTGTCTAGTAATACATGTCGCAAACAATACTGTAAATTTTTGCTTTGCCACCTTAAATTTATTGGCAAAAGTAAACACTATCAATGTAATATGTGATGTAGCTCTGCTTTAAAGAAGAATAATCATAGAAGATTCATCAAAATAATGATTTTTTTTTTTTTTACACAACTTTGGGTACCCTCTTACTGTCCTTTTATGTTTACATTGTAGGTAAGAATTTTAATTTTGATCAATAAGTTTGCCATTTTTGCAATTAAATAAGAATTTATAATGGTGTAGAAAATAATTTCCTAAAAATGGATTGACAATATGAAGAGCAACAACAAAAGTTCATCTGTAAGAATGGCAAATTCCTGGAATGTCAAGGTCAACTGAAACCTCACCATAGCATTTTATATCTTGACCATTTGCTGAAGATAAGCAGACAGTGATGGATTCAGATAAAGTCCAGTTAAAAATTTATACAGTAGATTTGTTACAGATAAATCTGTACCAATAAAAAAAAATATAAGTCAACAGAATTGTTACAACCCTAAAAAGTGGCAAGTCCCTGGTTATTATCACAACCTGCCCTATTAATTTTCCATAGGAAGGAATTTTTAAAATAAGATTTAGGTTTTCAGTTTCATAGAGTAAGAATTTTTACCTGGCCATTAGCACTATGGATTATAAGATTTTGATTTTAATCTTTTACATATATCCCCACAGACGTTAAAACAAAGAAAAAAAATACAGGATCAAATTTTATAAATCTTAAACTGCACACCAACACAACAAAGAAATATTTGTTCCTACAAAATTCATTATTTTCTAAATTGTTAATGTCATGATAGCAAAATCAACACACCTAACTCAAAATGATTTTCATTTTTAAAAATGTACATCAAACAGAAAAATAATCAAAACTTCTTTCAAAAAGAAAACTTAAGTTAAACAACAATACAATAGGATTTTTACTATTTTTTTTAAGCATGATTTTTTTTTTTTTTTACATGTATTCAAATCCAACTGTGTTAATGATTGCAAGTTTTGATATATTTTTTATGGAAGAGGAACCTTTTAAGAAATTAATACAGTTCTTTCTATTGATCAAGCTACAATTCAGAAATCTAGTAACTAGTAGAGTTTATAATGAGCCAATTTGCGACAAACATTCTACGTTTTGCAGTGAGTAGTTTATTCCAGAAATTATTTAAGACAAAAACATAGTTGCATTTTTTTAACTTTAGAATTCAAATTATTTTTCTCTAAAAGGGGAGAATTTTGATATTGTGATCATAGGCCTGTAAATATTGGTTCCCATTCGATCACCTAAGTTAAGCAGCGCCGAGCCCGGTCAGTGCACAGATGGGGGATCACTTGAGAACACCGGGTAAGCAATTATAATTTCAAAGATCCCAGATCTGTTTTCATATGCAATCAATACATTTTCCTTTTTCAAGATTTTTATTTTTTATTTTAGTCAAACTATCTTTTCATTTCATCGACCCAGTCATCCTCCACCTCGCCTCTATGCTTATTCACCTACTGATTTACAAGACAAGTTTTAGTGAGTGTGTACTCGTACTCAGTTACTGGATTGAAGATGTTCACCTCTCTCTTGTTGACATAGTTAATTATTTTTAGGCTAAATTAATCAACTTTGGCTTAGTAAAAAAATAAATAAATTTGTAACAATCCGGCATCCCACAGAAATCGGGTCAATGTTATTGTTATGTTACCATAAACTTTGAAAATAACGGACGGTCGACCTAAAAATATAAACAACTCCAGCTAATCACAAATGCCTAAAAACGGAAATAAACTAATAAATTAACCTACTTAAATATGTGAAGAATAATACACAGTACACTTTACTTTGAAAAAATAATGATTTACTTTAAAAAATTCTGCAACATTTAGGAAAGTAAAATAAATTCTCTTTGATTCTTTTTTGAAAGCAAAAAAAGAACGTGTCATGTCTTTTTATCTTGGTAAAATTTAAAGTTAGGTACCGCGTATCTGTGGATGTACCTAAAAAGACGTTAAAATTAAAAAGTATATTTTTCTATAAGAATTCTGAAGGAAAAAAATAAAAAAAAAATCTTATTTCTCTGACACCTTGGAAAGCTCGAGTCAACTTCGGAATTAAAAATTTTTAAATGAAATCATCGTTGTAGGAATGAAGGTAGATTATTTTCATTTGAAAAAAACTGAACCATAATGTTGTAATTTAGAGCTCAATAAAAAAAAAAGTTTTTCTGAACTCGCACCTACTTTTGTTTTGCTTTATTTTTTAAAGATACAATAATGTAGTTGAAAAATAAATATTGTTACAAATATTTAAAAAAATAGCTGCACAATTCATAAAAAGCTGCACAATTCATAAAAACACGAAATCACCCCACCCCGCAAATTAGCAAGCAATCAGACTCGGCAAAAAAAAAAAAACACTACCGTAGCACGTTTTTCAATAGTCTTCTTGATAGAACTTATTTGAAAACATTGTTTGAAGGGATATTTGCTTAATAAATTTACACAAAAAGAGAGCGTATTTGATACTTTCATTTTTTTTTTATTTATATACAGTATTGTCCCAATTTTATTACTGTCATCACTCACACCTTTTCGGCCGTTGTACAATCGACCTTCATCAGGTGATTGATTACTGATCCGTGTAAAGTTAAACCGCTCATTAGGAAATTTAAGAGTAAAACTGAACCCTTTAAGGGGTTTATTTCTAATCTGTGTAGGAACGAGAACAATTTACACATTATTAACACCTTAAATTGCATTGTTTTTTTCTTCTTTTTTCTGTTTTAAAAAATGAATTTCTAACTTTTTTTTCTTTTTACGACGTACGTACTTTATAAAAAGTATGTTGGTAATTTTTTTTTTTAAATTTGAACTATTTTTGTTTGTTCTAAAACAAGCATTTCTTAAAAAAAAAACAACTCAGGGATTTATTTTAATTTCTTTCCGAAACAATGCGTTCTCTAATAGCTGAAGTGAAGCTAACTGATGAGTACAATCACGTACCTACATTCTATTGATTTTTAGTTTTAAGACAATTTTATGGAGAGAAAAAAGGAAACGACAAGTACCCGATTTTTAATAATACCTAACAACATTTATCTGAAACCAGACTTTTAAACTTGTTAAATAAAGAAAACATATACTTACTGGCCACAGTTTATGTTTAATCGTAGCGATGGCCGGTTTTGAAGCTGTTGATCTCCTTCTCGAGACATTTGTAATAGTTCGTTTCATTGCTTTGCGATCTACAAAAGATGAATCAAATATTTTCTTTTTTCTGTCCTTCACAGAAGAAACTCCATTATCAATTTGTGTTGTGTCCTCCTCAGATTGATTACAAGTTGCTAATTCATCGCTCGAACTGTCGCCACTACTACTTAGAATCACAGTCGTTGTTTCATGAATTCTTTGTCTTTTTGAAGTTTTATTAAGCTCGATTGATTGTAATAAAGACGAAATGGGGTTGTCGTAGAGTGCCGATTGCAATGAAAGGTTTTCAGTTAAAGATGATTTGGATGATCGTAAATTGCTGTTAGTTTCCCGATTTTGTGAAGTCCCTTGAGTTGTATTAAATTTGGAATGGGACATAAGCGATAATCCAGTGGCTCTAATGGAATGATTGGTGTAGATTGTAGACAAGCTACAGCTCCGGCTTAACTTTTTCATAAACCCTGCCATAGTCTTTTCCCCGACGGGGCTATTATAAAACCAAACTGCTTCATCTTCTGAAACTGTTTCACGGGGCCTCTGCCACAGACGGTCGCAAAGCGGATGAAGTTTTGACAAATATTTTTCGAATGATTTCACTGGACAAAGTGGTGTGTCAACCAACTCTGGCATCAAATTTGGAATATTGGAAAATGCCGAGTTGCCGTGTCGGTTGTACAAGTCACGGCCGCCGCTTTTGGTTTTCTCTTTGCTAAGCGTCACGTATTTGAGCCCACTGTACGGGTCGCAAACTACCTTCAAGGTTGATTTAGTCATTACATTTAGATTCTCAATGCCCCGACGGAAAAAAAAAAGTCGAACATCAAACTGAACCTTGTTGTAAAGTCCAACTGGGGTGTCGTAATTGCTGTGGATGGATTCATAGAGCTTCTTCAAATCTGAATGACTGATTAAAGGCCGATGTTCCACTTTGTCTTTGCCCATTTTTTGAAGCTCCGCCACCGCCATTCTAAAATTATTGTTCGCAGAAGTAAATACCTGGTCTTTTATGATGTCAAAGTGCCGATTATAGGGAGAGCTACGCAAATAACGATTAAGAGAATACCGAAAGTTTTGCAAGGAACCAATTTTGTAATGTTCTCCATCCGGTCTGCGAGCGTCCATGTAGAAATGGCTAAGAATCTCAGCCAGTTGAGTTTCTGAAAACTTAACAAAGTCTATGTCCATTTCTTTTTCTTTTAGGTACTCTCGTAAAGTATTGGCTGCCTTTCGGTTTGCTTTCAGCGTGTTCCTCGAATTTATTGACTGGTTTTTTACTTTCATGTTTATGAACGAAACATCGGCAAAACGTTTCATGGTTTTACTTTTTTTTTTTTTTTTTTTTAGATTAATTAGAAATTTCGATCTGAAATCACTTTTTTTATATCTTTATTTTTAGTCTGTGTAAAGATGAAGTTTTCAGAAATGGGATTTAGAATGAGAAGCAGTTTAAACTGATAGTTTTAAAATTCTTCACGGGTTAAATACTAGAGAACAAACGACGGGTTAAAAACTGTTCTGGTTCGGAATGGATATGACAGCTCAGTACATTAACATAACACAATCAGAACTGTAGCAGAAGAGAAATCAGCCAAGATGTAACGACCGATAACAGTCTGAAAGACTGACACAGATGAACAACCCGAGGAAGAAAGAAGGTTACAGAATTTGTTGGCTTCGATTATTATCCAGTTGCCAACCTGATACAGACGACAGACAGGAAGACAGCGGGTTGGGGATAATTGTAGATAGTGAGAGAGTTGTGTAAAGATATGTAGACAGAGAAGCGAACGAAAAAAGTTGTTGTTGCTAGCTTTCCCTGGACGTTTTACTTTACAGTGGCTTTTGTTTTTGTCCAAGTATTTTAGTGAAAAAATTAAGTCTATAATATTATTTATACTAGTATGTTATTTATTTTGTTTACTTGCACAACGAAATTTGATTTGCTTCCCTGTCTTTTTCATTCCTTCTTCCTCTTTCTCTGCTATGTCAGTAAAATCAAACACACATACACACTACTCACTCACACATTCGTGATATAAAGAGAATCGAGATGTTACATAAAAAACGGAGTGGTCTGTCCGATTATTGTCTAACGTCTACAGTACTTGCTGCTATCTGGGCCACCACAGACGTGGACGATGTAAGTAAAACAGACAGTATTATTTACAAATGCTGCCCAGACGCGCGTGCACACACACTCAACTCGGACTGATAGCGTGACACTTATCCTTAATACACAGGCACGAAAACAATACACGCACTGACAGACCTGCAGTGATAAATATACTCTCAAATGAAAACTAGACTAATAACAAGCACATAGACCAAGCTCGCTGTTTTGAAAGGCGAAATAACGTATGTGGGTGTGTGTGCCCCCGGTGTCACCGTCGTCTACTTGAACAGGTGCCCTATATATATAGGCTAGTTACGTCATCAGTCGATGTCTAGAGTATTATTGGTGCTCACTTGTTTTGCGATGGTAGCACTAGTACTTGTAGTATTATTTCTACCACTAAAAATGCACATCTCTTCTTAATAACTTGACATAAAAAAAATTCATCTATCTTTTTCAAAATTTTTGGTCATACGATTTTACCAAGACAAGATGAACTTAGGTTGTGTATCTGTTACTATGACGTAATTTTATTATTCAATCAAAATTATTTAATTTTTTCAATTTAATAATCACTTACTATGATTTTTAAAAAAAATACAAATATCTAAGAACAATTATTTTTTACTCATGAGTTGTCTAAACACAGATGGTTAGCATGTTAATATTGCAAATAATTTTTAATCTTTATTTCAAAGTTGTCTTAAATGGAAAATAAAACTATTCTAAGTTCTATTCTTTGCTTTCTTTTCCTGCTGGAATTATCTGTGAATAACGTCAGACAAAAAATATTATTTGCAAAGGATAGAAAAAAGAGAAACAAATATTGTATGTAGAGAGAGAGAGGAAAAGATTTAACTTTAAAATCTATTTTAGAATGTCATAAAAAATGATTCCAAGATTTTTGGCTCCATGTGAGAACAAAGGATATTTTTGTTAGATCAACAAAAATTTCAAAACCTATCTTTACAAAAGACTGAGTTTTTTTTTTTTTGCTAATAAAAAGTCTATATGAATTTCCATATAAAATCAAATTCTAGATTCTTAAGCATCAAACAGAAAATAAAGTTTATATATTTAATATATGTAATATTGGAAGTGTTTAAATATTCAGTTATTTTTTTCATGAAATTTTACATATATCTATCTAAGCATTAATTTATGGGCTTTTTTTTTTTTTTGCACATTAAATGCTAGGTTCAATTTTTTCTATTCTTTTTTTCTTCATTGAACCAAAGAAAATGTTTTACCTTTGATAGAAAATTATGAAAAAAAAATTTCTACACAAGGATAAAATTTAATCTATTTCTTTCTTTTTCTGTATTATATTTGTCTGTTCTACATTTGACAAAATAAAATTACCTAATAACAATTAATAATGACCCTGGATTAATCTATTCAATATCTGATAGCCAGTACAGTGAAAAGCTCTACAATGAATGTAAATAAAATACAATTCATCATTTTTTCCTTTTCAACCAAAGAGCAACTCCCAAATGTGGTCTTTCATCTAAAGAATTTTCTGGATTGTAACGTATAATTGTTTCCTTTTAATTACAGAATAAAAATAAACAAAACAAAGCTCCTGCCATAAAGCAAGAGGTGGTATTCAAATCTTGCATGCCATTATTATTACTAAGTGAGTTTGATATTAAAAAATATTCGTGCCCCGGATATAGTCTTATTATGATGTTAGAAGTTTAGTTCAACAAATGTCTGTTTTATGACTGAATGTCTTTAGGAGTATTATGCACAACTGGACTGTGAGGGTTTCATACCCTTTATATTTTTCAATGTTCAAAAGAATTTACTTGGCAGAATGCATCTCCTCCTCTCAAAGTATCCTACAGCAGGTAACACTTTGGTTCAAACTATCACTTGCAGGGATGAATTCCAGACCTGACGAACAAGATATCTACAAGGAGAAAAAAAATTAAAAATATATTTTTATATGTGCATTTATAAAGCTATAGTTTGTAGACAATTTTGCATAATTTTAAAAACATTTTTTCTTCTAAGATTAATTTAAAAACACTACTCTGTTTTCTTTTTTCTAAGTTGTTTTGTTAAAATACAATTGTCATTTATCTTTGTTTTTGTGGCTAAACTCGTGTTGCATATTTGTGTATTTGTTTTTTTTAATATTTTCGCGTTTATTAATTAACTCAACTGCCTCTTGATTTTAAAAATAAGCATTCGTGAGTATGTTTGCATGATCAGCTTAAATTTCAGACTGCTTCAGTTCTTTAATGTCAAATGTATGTCAATTTTGCTTTTATTATTTTGAACCATTTCTCATCTCAAACTAAAATGAGAACAATAGTTAGAAATAATAAGTATAAATTCTTCAGTTCAGTTCCTCAGTCTTCTTATGATGTTCAAATTAAACATGGTCATGAACATCACAACAAAGGAAACAGAACTTTAAAAAAAAGAGTGGTTCCCAATCATTTACAAATTTTACAATAAGACATGATCTGTCAGCTTAATCTTCAATTTTGTTTTTATTCTGAGGTTTATTTGAAATTATTTTTTAAAAATTAGTTACTCTTTTAACAGTTAACTTCTGACGTATCGTGAGAAACATTATGGTCGAAAAACATGTTACTTCAACTTCAGTAATTTTTTTTCTTTATTCAATTTATCATACTTTTTTTTTTTTTTTCGGGGTTTTCTAAATCTCTCTTTCTCGCAATCTTATGAACTTCATTACCAAAAACAAAATGACATTTTTATTTATGACATTTCGAGTTAACTAAATAATTTTCATATTCTTCTCGTATGCAGGAAACGGTTTTAGTTTTAAATTTTATAATATCTCTCTAGAGAATATTGTTTACTTTTAGTTTTTTTAAAAAAATGCTTTATTTTCTTTCAGAGCATATACGATTATCAAATTTTCAAATACTAAGTCTTTATTAAAGCCACATGTGATCAACCTTTCATTCAATTAAAAATTAAATAATTGACAACAACTATATGTTTATAAAAAAATTTTCATTTAGTGATTTCTTACAGGGCAATAACCAAACAAAAATCAGATTTACACTCGCAGATTTTAAGTTTTTATTTAATTTTTAAAATACTTCTAAAAAAGGTGTTTTACTTTTACCCTGGGAAAGAATATTTTTTAAACTAAATACGTGTAAAACTCTGAGTATAGTATGGTCTGCCTTATTGTACTGCAAAAAAATAATAAATATCGGATAAATATGTCAAAAAAAATATTTTATTTGCCAAAAAGGGTTAACTAACACGTGTGGCCCTTTTTTTTATCTTGTAAAAAAAATGGATCAATGAAGATGAGGAAATCGGAAAAAGATGGAAATTCGAGGGTTGATTATTTTCCGAGTCCCTCATAAGTAAGAAAATAAGGGATTTTATATTATATATTATTAGCATATGAAAAAAATTATCTGTTCAAGCCGGCTATAAAAATGACAGTAATGTTTCTGTACGCCACGGTCAGTGGAAGGAGTTGGTTACTGTGACTAGCTTAGACCCCCCTCCTTTTTTTTAGGCAACGTAAAGCAGATAGACCTTTTGAAATGGCTAATAAACATAACATAATATAGTAAAAAGTGTGGGTTTTGTGTTTTTTTTTGTTTTTTTTTACAGTTTTATCAAATGAAAGGTTCTAAATTCAGACAAACCTAGTCTTCTTAAAAAAAGTTATCCCGACAACTGAATTTTCACTCAGCGGAGATAAAGGGCTGTTTTTAAAGGCTTTTTTTGCCTTTTTAGGTGTAAGTGTATAAACAAAAACACATACACAAACATGAATGAATATATTATATATATATATATATATATATATATATATATATATATATATTTATATTTTCAAGAAAATAGAAAAGTTAATTGTTTGTTTTTTTTAAAAAAGAAAACAATTATAAAATAAAATTTCATACAAATTATTCTACTACGGACGCTTGCTTTACTAATCGGTAGTCTCTGTATTACTTTTTAAAACGATTAAAAAATAAAACAAAGATATAATTTTAAAAATAAGCGACTTTAAAAAAAAAATCTTTCACCTAAAATACTTACACACATGCCGAGTTTGCTGCAGACTTTTACTAAAAGTTCACACACCAGAAGAACTAAGCCAGTGGAAGATTAATAAAAAGTAATTTGCTTGAGAATATGGCCTACACTCCTGTCACCTCGGTTTAAGTGAGACTCACAAAGATTATGGAAACCTTAAACTTTCAAATAATAATTGACTATAAAATGTCAGGTTTTGCTTAATTACGTGTTGTGCCGTTTGCACATAAAATATTTTTGTATATCTTTAATGTAATGACGTTGTTTAAGATTTTTTAAAACTATGTTATCAATTTTACTTTGTTCGCCGTTCGAGCGCATTGAATCTGCAGAGTAACCTCCCCTTGTTTTCTGTTGTTATTAAGATTGTCGCTTGGGGTTTCGCTTTAAAATTTACAAAAATTATAATTCCGAAAAAAATGGAAGCTTCAGTAATAAATCGGTTCGTTAGAGGAATGTCATTATATATACGCTGATATCCAGACTTATGAAAGATGCAAGAATTAAAAAAAAATAAATATATGAGGTTATTTTTAATGTTATTCAAATTAATTTAACCATAAAAATATGAACATAAGTCCGTTTACTTTATTTTTTTTAGCGTGCAATAAAAATATTAAACTTTTTTTATTAAGCATAAACAGAAAAAAATGATCATAGTTAAAAAAAAAAAAAAAGGATGCTATATTCAATTTTTACTTATTTATTTTTACAAAACAAAGCAGAAATAAACTGGAATTACTTTTTGTTTTGTTTTTTAATTTAACCATACAGTGGAGAAAAGTAAAAAAAAATTAAAAAGCAGACTGACTCCATTGGAAAAAAAATAAAACCAAACAAATTTTGCCAAGTCGATACCTCGACGGATGTTTCACAACATTTCTCTTGGAAAAAGTACCAAAAACATAACTCACACGCAAATACCGAACAAAGGAGTACAAACCATTTTCAGTTTGGTAAATTTATTTTATTTTTACGGAACATTCTTCTCTGACTGTACATATCGGATGTTGTAAAAAAAATAGGATAACTTTTGTGGTGGTGTGTTTATTGTTCTCTTTCTCTTGAGTGTACACATGCTGTGCGTGTCCCTATGGCTTATTAGCGCTCATGGTCCCCTACAGTTTCCTGTCTTTTTTTGTTGGTCTCAGCAATTCTTCCCCCTCCTTTATGATCACTCTCTTTCTAAATTTGTGGCACTTGCTCCTCCATCCATTTGGAAAAAAAACTCGTCAAGTATGTCGCCGGTTTTCTCTGCTTCTCTTTTTTTGTCTGTGACGTCTCAAGTGAGTGTTAAATTTTCCAAGTCTTCATTCCTCCCCAAATTTCAGCTGTCTCTTTATGAACAGTTTCTTTGTAGTTTCCACTCTTGTAGTCCCTTAGGAATCCTTTTTTTTTCCCGCATGCCCTGTTCATGATATTCTCAACATTTAGTAGTAAAATCTTGAATCTTTTTCATTTGTAACGAAATTTCACAACTTTCACAGCTATATAAAACAGTAAATATCCACATAATAGTCTAGTATTCATTTCTTTATTTAAATTTTTTTTACATGTGTAGTTTGAAGGAAGAAGAGAAAATGGAATGTTGCTTACCTCGTGGTGGAGGGAGAAGAAGAAGCAGCAACAGGCGGCGATTTCTTTTATAGAAAGATATTGTGGGAAGAGACAAATTATGAGAAGGAAGAAAAAAAGCTCAACTAAAAATAGGAGTTGGCAATTTTCTTGTTTGTTTCATATAAGAAAGATTGCAAGAGAGGAAGGAGGACAAGAGAGATCCTGGGAGAAGTTTTTTTTTTTTTTAACCACAAGCTATTTCGGCAATATGGAGCCTGAAATGGTGAGACTGAGTGGAGACATAATATCACTGTTTAACAAAGGTGTTATAGTCATGTGGATAAAGAAAGTGAAGCTTCAAAAAGTGCCAGACCTTGTTAGTTTCCTTCCACTTTTTCTGCAAGGAGATGTGCTTGCCCTCTACCTTGAAATGAGAAATGAGGACCAGTTGACGAGGACATGACAGGGAGCAGACTAAAGAAAGGATTCACTAACGGGCCTTTTGAAGGTTATGTAAATCTCAAGAGTGTGTAATGGACTGGGGAATTAGTGTACGTCTATATCAATATCAAAAGGTTATCAGGGTTGGCAGGATATCTAGCCAGAGGACCGGATTAGACAGCAAAATTAACTTTCATGACTGTCTTCCCAGATGATGTATCTGTGGCACTGCAACAAGTGCCTGGTGAAGAAAAGATGGACTTCTGTGAAATTATACCAGCCGCAAGGCTCTTGATCAGCAAAAGACTTTGGGAGCCCAGAACAGTGGCAACAATTGCACAAAGCACTGGACCAAAAGAAAACAAAGGTCATATGTAATGATTGAGCATTAGGTGCTATAGATGTCAAGGGTCACATCTAATTAGAGACTAATGAGCCACGAAGAATGAAAGTAATGTTTTACAATTGAGAGAGATTGGGGCAAATTTCAAGGTATTGCCCTCACGCTCAATGAAACAAGCAAAGAAGAGCTTCTGTACTAATAGCTACCCTGCCAACAGAAGGAAGGTGCAGTACCAACCTCTACCAATAATAGAAGTGTTAGTGGGTGGTGTGATAGTAACAGCTTTTGTTGATACCGGCTGCACAACCACTTTAAAAGCTTGTGAGCAGATGGAGTGGGAGTGGCACTGAAAGCAGTTGATGGATGGAAGGTAAAATGTAAAGGAACCCAGCAGGTGGAGATAAAAGTAGGTGGAGTGAGGATAAAAATGAAGGCAATTATTGTAGATCACATCATCGATGGGATCAACATTGTTGTCAGAATAGATGGGATCAATAAGCTGTGAGGTGTGACTGTGAAAAAATAACAAGGCAAAATTTGGAGAGGTACACTGTGCCACAGCTGCCCAAGTTCCAAACTCTTACAAAATTGTAGACAAGAACTTCACAGCAGAGTTTGATGAAAAGAAATGGACTGTGGTATGGAATCTGATAGGAGAGTCTCCAGTATTAAAATACAAGGTAGAGTAGTACAAAAATTCCTTGAAAGAAGAACAAAGAGTTTGAGAAGGAGGTAGAAAGATGGATTACGGAGGGTATTCTCTTGCCATGGAAGGGTGAAGTAAAAGGAGTGTTACTGCTGATGGCAGTGGTCCAAGCTACAAAAGGAAAAGTCTGGCCAGTATTAGACTTTCCAGAGTTGAACTGTTATGTCCATACTGGGAGTGATATAATTGATGTGTGTGATGAAAAGATAAGGAAGTGGAAGCAGTTGGTGGGAGGAACTATGATCATGGACCTTAAGTCAGCCTACCTGCAGTTACACATTGCTGAAAAAGCATGGGGTCGCATAACAGCCAAGTTATGATTATGTAGTTTTAATGAAGGAAGAAAAGAGAATGGAATGTTGCTTACCTTGTGGTGGGGGGAGAAATATGTGGTGACAGGCAGAGATTTCTTTTATAGAAAGATATTGCGGGAAGAGAGAATTATAGGAAAGAATAAAATCTATAAAGCTTCTATGAAAAAGGTTCTCATATGAGAACAAGATTTAAGACAAGGATGGGAGAGAGCTGATCGTAGAACTTCCTTTTTAATTTTGAAACACAAAGCTTTTTGGCAAAATGGAGTCTGGAATGGTGAGATTGGGTAGAGACATGATAGCACCATTTAGTGGTGAAGGTGATATAGTCGCGAGGATAAAAACAGAGGCAATTATTGTTGATTGCATCATTGACATGATCGACATTGTTGATCAATAAGCTGCAGAGTGTGACTGTAAAAAATAGTGAGATACACTATGCCATAGCTGCCCAAGTTCCAAACTCTTGCAAAATTGAAGACGAAGACTTCACAGCAGAGTTCGATGGAAAGAAATAGACATAGAGTTGAATCATTATGTAGAGTGCCATACTGTGATCAGGACTCAGCACAGCCCTAAAATGAAAACAGGAATAGTGTATTGTGATACTAGCAGTATTGCTACAGGTGTAGTCATAGAGATCGGTGGTTTTGGGGCAGAAGATGCAGCATGGCTGAGAAAAAAGGATTACTATAACCACATCAATGTGGCTGAATTAGATGTTGTGCTAAAAGGCATTAATTTGGCTTTAAAGTGGGGGTTAAGAGAGGTGGAAATAAGGATTCATTCAGCCACAGTACAATTTTGGATGAACTCTGCTATAGAGGAGAATATGAACAAAAAGTGCTGGAGAAATGATAGTGAAGCAGAGATTAGGAATACTGGGAGAGTTAATATCTGAATTTGGATTACAAATGAAAGCAGTGTTTGTGCCTTCAGAAAGATATAAAGCAGATGCATTAACTCAAGTAAATAAAAAGTGGTTGGTCATCAATGAAGAGGAAGAGACTCCAGTATGCAGTCTAGGGATCAGAGAATTAGAAGAGTTGCATGGTATGAATCATATGGGAGTGGATATGATTCTATATTTGGTGCAAAAAGTCAACATTCTCATAAAAAGAGAGTAAGTCCAGAGGGTGGTCAGGAACTGCATTAGATCTTAATCGATTGACCCTGCCTTGTATGTACATGATCCTGGTGAGATTGGAATGACAAGCAATTGGACAAGCTTAGCTGTCGATATAACACATTATCATGGTGGTGCATACTTGATGATTGCCTGTGGACTTGGGCACGTGACTATGTTGTCTGAATGATATACAAAGTGTGTATCAGTTATGTAGCACCAATGAATTCCATCATAATGATGATGATTTATGTACTATTTATCCTTTTGTGATTCTGATGATTATGATTTGTATGATTAACTGTATGTAAACTGTAAATGACCTGATAGACTGCATGCTAAAGGTCATTTCACAGTGTTGACTATGTAAACTATGATAGACTGCACACTAAATTAGTACCAATTGCAGATGTTAAGCTTTCTGTGTTTCTGTTAACCTTCATAAAATCAGGCTTTTGAATGCTGATTTTCAAGGTAGGCTTTATTTCTTTAGAAGATTCCTATATAACATAATCTTTCTAT